GAAGGGATTTCTTATTATAGAAATGCTCTTTCAAATTCCATGAAAAAAATATAGTTCAAACTCTTTTCCTTAGGAAGATGCATAATCAAGTAAATTATAGTCACACAAAACTCCATCAAATCTAAGCCTGCCTCCCTTTAAAAAAACAATAAGAAACAAAAAAATGTAAAAACCAAAAAATCAAGTAATAATTGATCATTTAATGTTCAAAGTAGCCATCCATTCATCACACACTTCAGTTTGCCAAAGACATCAAATTCAAGTCTAACCAAAGCTCACAAAAATTAATGTCATATCAAGTGTATCCATACAATGTCCCCAAATAATCTCGCATTGCATGTGCCCCATAACCAAGAGGTTCGCTTAGTTTTGATGGAGCCATCATATTACGTTAGCAACCTAAGCTTGGATGCTACTTAATAGCTAAGCTAATGAGTTGTAAACCATATGGTCACTCGACAGGCATTACGTCCTCTATCAATGACCTTAAAATTAGCACATTCAACAAGCTTTTATCGTAGGCCTATGAGATTTCCTTGAATGCCATAACTCATGATTGTTGAAAGGATCGAAAATCAATTAGTGTCAACTACCACTATTGATTAAGGAGATTGTAATCCACAATAACCTAGGAACATGAAAGTATGGGATTATAATCAAGTTCAACAAAAAATGTCCATCATCTGCACTGACCAAATAATGATATATCCTTTAACCAAAATAGATGTTTCTAAAGTATATTGATCTACAACAAGTTTCTAAGTAGAAATGAACTAGATAATGTCAGGCCTAACTTAGGGTTCTCTGCCCCTAGTACTTCCCTCTATAAATAGAAAATGTAAATGCTCTTCTAAGGCCATTCTATCTAAGAGGCACTTGCCTAAAAAGCCTTAAAAAAGTCCCATCATACTTAAGAGGTATTGGGGAGATTTCTAAACACTTTCCCCTCTTTTTCTTCTTTTATTTTAATATGATTTTATATCACGCGCCTTTGAATTTCCAAAGCTTTACTTTTCTATCCTTTTATGGTAGATTGCAAGCGCTTCAAGCTGAAGGTCTACTATAACAACTAAAACATGGTTATCTTCATGGATACAAAATTCTTGTTATGGAGATGTCATGGTGCTCAACCATAAGTTCATTTATGTTGAATATAGCTTGGTATTGTCGAGCGCAACCATTATACCCCAAACCCAATCAGTTTTACAAGAGGAAGCTTGAAAATATCTATGAATTGACACAATCAGTTCTAAAGAACATAGTTATAGACTCTCTAAGCGTTAGTTGCCTAGTGGGTATGGGTCCCCTCTCGAAGCTCCTCTTGACTCATCATTTTTGTCTTGTTAGGTAACATACTAGTGGGTATTTTTCATCCACTCTCAAACTCGAGCTTAAGGAAAATCATGCCCAAATTACCATTGATTTTCCTGCACTTAATTAAATCATTAAAAATTCTAAAATTCTAAAACTTTTTGGTGCCACTTCTCATTGAGTTATACATATAATAAAATTTTTAAATCCAACTTCCCAACACTTTGATTGTTGCATTTCTTGGTGCCAATTCTCAACTTTTTAAAATTCCTAAAAATGCTATTTTACTAATAAATTTGGTTGGGAGTTCCCCCTTATCAATATCTATCTCTAGTATGAATTTCAAATCCAAATTAAAAATTACAAAAAATTGGAAATTTTTAAAATAACCAAAATGCTTTAGCCCTATGTTTCGTCCAAATTCTAAAATATGCAAATTCAATATGGTCTATGATTTTTACCAAGTCACCAAAGGACATGGGAATCATATACATCTTCAACTCGACTACCATTACATATAAAATGCAACTCCTCTATGAGGAGGTTAAATTATCCCTCCATGACAATGCTAAACTAACTCCCCATGTCAAAACCTAAATGCTCTACCAACTAATAAAATCAAGTTCTACCCTCATATAGATAAAGTTAAATAAGACCCTGATAGGATTCCTCCTTTTCATTTTGATCAGGTCAACACAGTTGATGCCCACAAACATGTTAGAGCCCTCAAAGCAAATATGAAAAATTAAAAATGCAAAAACATTATTTAAACCATCCGAAATGAGGTTAAATTATAGCTCCACAATCAACCAAATATAGACAGAATTTTCTACCATTAAACAAGATCCTAGATCTAAAATCTTAGCGGTCACCCTTTTTTCCCAAATGCTACCTACACCTAAATCAAACACAAAAACCTCCAATGGAGTTCGCATGTACACAAGTTATCAAAATTACAATCCAAATCCAAAGCTCGCAACCAACACAATACATAAGTCTAAGGAGCCACAAATCAAAATTAAAACCATTATTCCCAAAGGGTCGCCTCCCTTTGAGTGCATCAAGTTCAAGGAATTCCTAAAAGTCCAAAGCAAGAAAAGCCTACCTAAATCCATTCCTGATGATGGGTAAACTATAAGCTAATCATAATAAGAAGAAACAATAACTCTACCAAATAAGTACTATGCTACCATGTTGTAATAAATGCTCCCATAAAGCTCTTATTCCGTAATGATGGTCATGATGAAGTCAAAATCTAAAATAAAGGTAATTATAGCCATTAACCCAATCAATTCTCAAGATTCTTGTCCTAGGAGTTAGTGTTTAAAATCTCAAACTTCCAAAAGCATTAGTCCCCAATACTTTCAACCCTTGGCTACCCAATATAATAAAATACCCCTTACAAAAAAATGTAAAGAGCAAAAATTAACAAAAAATACCAAAAAGATGTCCCAAATATTAAAATATTAAAATCCATTAAAATATATAAAAAGTATAAAAATACAAAATAATTTATCATTTTATCCTTAGGGAAAAACTAAACCTTCCACGCTAAGATGATTTCAAGAGCCAAACTTAAATTGACCAAAGCTCACAACAGAGCAAGTGTCAAATTAAATATTGTCAAACAAACCTAGTTCAAAATTTAATGCCAATAGGGACACAACAAATATACTCTAACCAAATGATTATTCAAAAAATTGACTTTATCATAGCACAATTATGATAAATGTCCTAAGATTGAATGGTTAGCCTAAAATCAACATTATTACATCACGATTTCTATGAATGTTTGCATGTTCCCCAAAGAGATGTAGAATTTGGTAAGGTTAAATAGAAGTTGATGAGTTAAGGTTCACCTTCGAGATTTCATCAGTGATAGATAACTAATAAGGAATCATGGATGTAAATATATTCATTTTCGATGTTCTATTTTTCATCCTTAGCTTGAATTATCATTGTCTTTTATTTCCTTTTTCAAATTGACTTGAGAAGTGAAGGAAATGAAAAAGGAAGAAGCTTGAGATATTGAGGCAGGAGGGAAGGTCTCGGTTATTGTAGGAAACAAATAATTCCTTAAAATGGAAGATTAAGGTAGTTGTATTATCGATCGAGGAAGGTTGAAGAAAGAGAGAGAGAGAGAGAGAGAGGATTTAAGAGAAATATCTTAATTCAATATATGATATTGAAAATTTATTTATTTACATACATAAGTTATCTTAAATCAATGGAAATATCTTAATTATGTACCCAATCTATTGAAATAGGCATTGTAATTAAAATCCCTAGTTCAATTTGAGATCAAATGAAAACAACTATTTGAAATTTAAAATGAAATTATCCAAAAAAAAAACTATTCAAATAATAAAATAAATACAATTTGTGTTCATAAATTTGTCTAATATGTTCAAACTAGAATTGGTTTTAGCCATAAGTTTGAGTTTTAATTTAGGTGTTACATCACAAACTTAGCTTTAACTAACAAAAGATCAAGCTATAGCCTCTAGGTCTATCTTTTCTCAAGATTAAACTAAATCCATTTAAGCCAAACTTAAGCCAGAGTAAAATCGGTTCAACATTGATCATTAATAATTTTCCCTAAACATCTAAAAGCCACTAAGGCTAGCACCTCAATATATGAAACAAAAAAAAAAGCATTGCTAAGCAAAAATGCCTAACAAGCTACATTTATTAATCATCACCTACAAACTGTAATATGAACAAAATATATCGCTTAAATGTAAAAATATATATTTAAGCCAAAACAATAGTATAAGGTTCATGCATAATATAGATTCCCTACTTGGAATCCAAAAAATTTAACCACTAAATGATCATGGTGTAATTATTGAAAAAAGGAATTTCAAAGTTCAGTCTGATGACATAATATAGTAGATGTCAGAGAGAACATCGAAGGCTTATAGAGTTAGCTAGGCTGATTCCTTTTGAACTGAGAACTCATGGGTTCACATCAGGTAACATCTTTACAAAAAATTCCCTGCATGCATGAGCTATGGCTTTCTTTAATCCAATGTCCAGACCCATCCTCCAAAATTCTCAACAAATACTAACTAATAAGGCCAATAATTAAATAGAAGCCAAAAATGGGTTGATCTCCTACGGCTAATTTAAAAGTTTATGTGAAAATTTTAGGAAGAATAAGCGTTTATCACTAAGAATATAGATTTCTATAATCATAAAGAATGTCTAACTGAATGAAAATTGCATATAACTTTGAAAGTTACAAAGATAATGTTATCCCAAGAAATAATGTTTGATTTTAGGAGTGTCTCCCCTTCCACATAAACAAGCAACAAAATTTAATTCCATGGCAGAACACAAAATATATCACATTAGATACTAGAACTTACTTTTAGTTCAGATCAATGAAATAACAGAGCATATAACAAGAAAATAAAATGTCTTCTATGTCTCTTAAAAAGCCTACAAGCTCACTAGATCTAAATACTAACGAAATTCAATAGACAAAAGGAAATTTCAAGTTCTCTTTTGAGAAGTATCCCTTTTCAGAATCAGAGCACCGCTTCATCAATGCCAGCTCCAAATACCAAAGTCTCTCCATCAAATTTACAATCAAATAAACATACTATTTTCCCATTGACACAAATGAAAACATCACAACAATAGACGAAAGTAGCATTGAATACAAGGAGAGCAGAAATCCAGACCTCGCCGGTATGTCCAAAGCAACTATGCAGATAATTCTCATCCATCCAGTACTGGAGATCTCCCACCCAGATCGTCTTGTTCTCCTCGCCGCTGCTTCTCCCTTGAGCTGGCGGCGGAAGCATCGGCTGGTGGTAACCGAAGAAGGGCGGCGGGGTAAACGGCAGCGGCGGTGGTGGCGCCATCGGGTGCGGCATCATCAACGTCGCCGGAGGGTACTGCATCGCGGGTTCCGTGGCTTCTGGAGGCGATAGTGGTGATTGTGCGGTGAGGAGAATAGAGAGGATGAAGATAGGAGGCGGGGGCGGGGAGCCGGCAGTTGAGGGAAGGTTTGCAAGTTGCAACTTGCAGGAGGGGTGGAAGGAGTTTTATAGGTGAGGCGGCTTCGAGGTGAGGTTTGACAACAGCCGTCCGATGAGGGCTGCGACGTGCAGCAGACGGCCTTGATGGACGGATCTACGGCTTTTGCGTCGTTTCTTTCACTGGTGGAAGCGAGCAAATTGTGGGCTGGATATGCAATATAATACGTTTGGAGAAAAAAATAGGGTCAGAATATTCTTTACTTAAATTGGGTAAGAATGTTCTAATCAAATATTTACCACAAATAATTTTAAAAATTTACATGTGTTATAAATTTGGTTTTATGTTCCTTGAAAATTTTATGACTCATGATAAAAAATGTTTCTTATTATTGCATCCTGGAGTATTCGGCGGCGGTAGAGAAATATATAGTTTAATGTCTTAGCATTGTACGAAGATCCAGCACACCAGCAGATAAGAGAGAGAGAGAGTAGCGTTCATAAGAGACACTAGAATTTTTACGTGGAAGCCTCGGAAAAGGGGGGAAAAATCACTGGACCTAGTCCAGTTTGAATGAATCCACTAGTATTTACAGTCGATTACAAATGAGGCCCTTCTTAGAGAGAAGGCCTTGGCTTGATGTTACAAATGTGCCTCATATAGAGCACATTATAAGGTGGGAGTTACAATAATCAACATAAACATGTTTGTTTGGTTGGAAGGGCCATAGTCAGCACGAGATAAAGGTCTGAAAGATCGTAGTTGGCAGGAGACTGTGGTCAGAAAGACCGTTGTCTGGTGATGGAGGTCGGAAGGATCATAATCGGCAGGAGATGAGGGTCCAAAAGACCTTAGTAGGCAAGAGACATGGGTCAGAAAGATCGTAGTTGGTAGGAGACTGGGGTTAGAAAGACCGTTGTCTGGCGATGTAGGTTTGAAGAACCATAATAGGTGTTGGAGGTCGGAAGGACCATAGTCGACGGGCGATAATAGTAGGGTGGTACTTTGGTAGAACTCTGGGAATCAGGTGGTGGCCTAATAGAAGTTTGTGCCTCAAGTGGTGGTCCGGAAGAAGTCCGGGCCTCAGGTGGTGGTTCGGTGGAAGTCCAGGCCTCAAGTAGTGGTCTGGCGGAAGTTCGGGCCTCAGGCGGTGGTTCGACGGAAGTGAGGGCCTCATGTGATGGTCCAACGGATCAAATACGTCAGGCAGTGTTCCGACGGAGGTGAGGGCCTCAAGTGGGGGTCTGGCTGAGCAACGACGTTAGGCGGTGGTTTAGTGGAGCAACGACGTCAGGGGGTGGTCCGACGGAGGTCAGGGCCTCAAGTGGTGGTCCGGCAGAGCAATGACATCAGGAGGTGATCCGGCAAAGTTCAGGGCCTCAAGTGGAGGTCCGGTGGAGCAACGACGTCAGGCGATGGTCCGGTGGAGGTGAGGGCCTCAAGTGGTGGTTCGTCGGAGCTCAGGGTCTTAATTGGTGGTCCGGTGAGGTGACGACGTTAGGTGGTGGTCCGGTTGAAGTCCGGGCCTCAAGTGGTGGTCCGGTGGAGGTGATGGCCTCAAGTGGTGGTCCAGCAGAGCAACGATGTCAGGCAGTGGTCCGACGGATGTGAGGGCCTCAAGTGGTGGTCCGGCGGAGCAACGACATCAGGCGGTAGTCCGATGGAGGTGAGGGCCTCAAGTGGTGGTCCGACGGAAGTCCGACGGTGGTCGAGGGAGCTTCTTCCTTCTTCTTTTCTTGCTTCGATCCCCTCTCAAGAGAAATGAAAGGTCTATTTATAAATTTTTGGAGTGGCATGACCCGTAAATAGGTGAGAGATCAAGGGCAAATGGGGAGTGGTTGAATGGACGGCCGATATTGAATCCCTTGATTATGGGCAGCTTGTCAGACATTTAAAGGTTTTAGTGATGTCGGAATTCAATGATCCTGAGCTCGTTGGATTCGTCTCGTTGAGCCGCTCAATTCAACTATAATCACATAATGTTTGGAAACCATTTGATAATCCAAATTGTGGTTTGAACCTTTCAACAGGGCTTCGGGTCCATGATTTGGACTCAGTTGAGCTCGGATTGAGTCGAATTTGGTGTCGTTGGGTTCATATTTCCAAGATGTTCAGTTTGACTATATGTTTGCTAAAATTCGAGTTCGGATGTTTCCAATTTTAATTTCTGAAGTTTCCAACTTGATTTTGCATCGAGATTTGTGCCCATCAAGATAATTTTTTGATGATGTATCACTTATAAAAATATTTTGTATCTTAAGCTTCGTTTGGGACGACTTTCTTATTGCTTTGTAAAAATATTTTTTACTTTTAATACAAAAATCTCTTGAAAGTAGGAAATAAATATTAATTTAAAACTGTCTCAGATAAAGCCTAAGTTGTAATGTTTCATTTATATTTTTATTGAAAGTTGGGCTGCGGTTGCTTAAATAGTTACTTCTTTCATTGTCTTTTCATTAGTTGGTATAGATTCTTAAGTAGGAGTGTCAATTTTTGACACGACCCGAAATCCGATCCGAATCCGACCAAGAAAAATCTGGGTTCAGGTCGACCCGTTTGTGAAACGGGTTGGGTTCGGATTCAATAAACTGACCCGTTTCAAAAAAAAAACGGGTCGGGTTCAGGTTGACCCGGCAACCCGAAATTGACCCGAAATTTCTTTGCCCGGATCTGCTGCCCGCCCTGCCCCAAGCGTCAGCTGTCAAGTCGCGTGAGTCCTGAACTCCGAAACGACCAGCCTCACGCCTCCCGAACGGCCGAACCCGAAGTCTCGCGGTGCGCGTCCCGATTCCGAACGGCCAGTCGCGTCACTGGTGAGTCTCGCGGTGCGTGTCCCGAACGGCAGAACCGGCGAACCCGAAGCATCACGTCGTCGAGTCACGTCACTGGATGCTGGCTGCCTGGCTCGGGCCGCTGAGCGTTGCGTGCTGCACTAAGAGCTTATATTCCTAACTTGGAAGTTACTAGAAAGATTACATTCGATTTATAATAATTTGAATGCTAGTATTGGCATGACACCATATGAAGCTATTTAAAATAGAAAATACAAATATATTTTCTGTTGATTTGAGGTTGACGAGACTGAAATATTAGGATCATAATTAATTAATCGGGCCGCCAAGAAGATTCATCAAATCTAAGAATAAGGTTTCAACCCTAAGCATAAATAATAGACAACATTTAAGATTGGAGATCGGCGAGAATAAGTTTAACAAAATGGGAGACTGAAGAAGAGATTAATATTAAGTACTTACTACTATTTCAGAACTAAGATATGATTTTAAAGATTATAGAGAATATGAGAACCAATTTAATTTAATGACCAAGAACTAAATGACTACCCCAACTTCTCATGTGAAAAGCCTTCACCCTCCTCTTCTTTTATAATCATTATGAGGATCTTGCTCCCCATTAGTGCCTCAACTCATGCTTTTAAGACTAATAATTTGGCGAGGCGTACGTCACATACCCTTTGATTCATAATCTAAGAACAAGAAGGCTCTTCATTTGGGACAGCTTTCTTATTGCCTTTTAAAATCGTTTTTTAGCACAAAAATTTCTAATTCAAGACATTTTTGTATTAGAAAGTTGTTTTAGAAAACAACAAAAAACTGTCCCAAAAGAAGCCGAAATCTCACCATCATTCTTTTTACTCATGTTGCAAATCCTTTTCTCCTCATAGCTAACAACCTCAAACATTAGTTATTACATTAATCAAATACCTAAGTTTAAGTTGTTGGCCATTATTTATATTTTTATTAGATTTTGGGTGGTTATTTCTTATATAGTTTTTTTTTTTTTCATTCATTAGTTATTTTTATCTCCATGTTCAATTATTGCTAAAGATTATATTGATGTAGTTAAATTTTATTTTGTTATACTTGTGCTTTTATGTTCTTGTTACAATTATTAATATATAAAATATTCTTATCTTTAATGTAAAACAACATTAATTGATCATAATTGTTGAGATTAATTATCTCGTGAGTTAGGATTGATTTGTTCATCATATCTGTATCACCGAGGTGCACCGCCTTTCAGACTTTGGGTGTGATATTTTTGATGGGAATTGGATTAGGATATCTTTTATGGGTACATGTTTGAGTTACCTTATTATTCATAGAGATGTCTATTCTAATCATACCAATAAAAAGATATTAGTCATTTATTATATTGAAAATTTTGACTAATGACATTATTATATTGAATATGAGGTGCAAAGATATAACATCAATCTTTGTTGAATTTTATACTATGACAAATTGAATGAGTTGTTAAAGATCAATGTAAAAGTAGGCCTTTTTATTAGCCTTTTTTTCTTAAAAGTAGGCCAAAAAGAGTCACTACACAATTTATTATTCCATTATTATATATAACTCTAACATTTAAGCAATAGTTATTATTATAATTATTATTCAAATAAAAAAATCACAGTTTATTATTTTGTTATAGCTTGAATATTATGACTAATATGCTTTTTTTTTTCTTTCAGTTAATGTATTTTAGAAATGGGATATAGACACTAGTTATTCACATATAACTAACTCATATAAATTGATAAATATTTTTTTTAAAGAAAATTCTCTTGTGGTGTAAATAGATGATAGAAGGGGTTTTGTTTATAACAATCATGAAACATCTAATGATAGGTACTTAGCATAGAATAGTTTATATGCTCTCCCTTCGAATGTTAAGTACATGATATATGTGAAACTTTTTTTGATGAATGATAATTTTCGTATGTTAAGTCTTTTATGATATTGTAAGTCTCTATGAAAAGCTAGTTAAATATTTTAAAAATATTTATGTAGAATGTATATGCTAAGCTTCAAACTTTTATTCGTTTATCCGTTCTTCCCTGATACTCCAAGCTCCTAGGTTTAGGATTCGTTTGGGACGGCTTTCCCAAACGAAGCTTTAATCTTGACATAAAAAGCCCTCCCTTGAACAAGGGATATCATAATAAAACTTTTACTCTCCTCTATATAAGAGGAACCTTATCAGTGATGGTGCTTTTAATCATCACTGAAGGATTGCATTTAGTTTATGAAAAAGTAAATTTTTGTATATGTAAAAGTAAATTAACGAGAAATCTCCCCAGATACATGAAGAGTTTTAAAATGAGACGATCTATCTTTTATCGAATCTCACTTGCGGAGACCTT